TAACTGACATCTCTCTCAAGTCAAAAATTCTTATACTTTTATTTAAAAAAAAACTGCGAACATAAAAAGTCAAGTACGGCTTTGGGTCAATTGGTTAAGATGCGCTGATTCTGAGCTTCACATTTGGCAGGACCCGAGTTCGATTCCTGGTACTTACAGTCTCAAACATAATTATATACGAATAATTAAATACAGGAATTATTTCCAAGACCACTAATGATGGGTATTTGGCAATACTCGAAACAGCTGTGTGGTCAGCCAAAATATCAATTAATTAAAATATTATAAAACTGAATTTTAGTTGTTGTAGTTCACTACTGTTCGAAAAATCCTCTTTAAAAAAAATGTAATTAAAATCTAAATTTTTCCAAATAGACATTCTATTAAATCTGTGCATTCCAAATATACATTTTCTGCTGAAACAACCCTGTTGTTTGTCATCACATTATTCTTAACAAAACCATTTTTAAAAACAAAGAGCATAGCATCTATAATATAAATGATCTCATTAAATACAATTAAAATCAATTAATTAGTAGAAATTATTTTCACGCGCCATTATTTAAGCATTTAACACCTTTTTTGCCTGCTCAAGAAATAATTTTGTTGAAGTTTTAAAAATTATAGCGAACGTGCTCAAAACGTATCCTTGAAGAGGCGTAATTAAATAGATGCTCACAGGAAAGTAATCAGGCCATATTTGTATAATAAAAACTCATAAATATTGTCTTTGCAAATTTAAGTGCTTTAACTGAATTTATTGCTTGGATACGCAGTATTACCAACTTCTTTGTCGAAACCCCTTCGCCGTTTAGGCATATTGCATATAAATAACAATTATATTGCTCTATGCTGGCACGTTTGGCATAAAACTTTTCCAAAAAACAAAAAAAAAAGACAAAATAAAAATTTCAACAAAAAACTTTTATCGAGTCATAGTGAAAAAAATTATTTTTGAAAAAAGAAAAAAATAAAAATACTATAGTTAAATTTTATTTTGTAATATTTTGCAAATATTATAAACAGTACTGTACAGTGCTGTTCATAGAAATAACTCCACTCATTAGTTGCCCTACACGCAATTAAACACAAATGGCTTTAGCTTTCCAACAACATTGTGTACGCTCGATGTTCCCCCAATGTAACAGTTACAGTGAGTTTAACATAAATCCTTGAAAACTTCATCCAAGCGCTCGAGGAAGTACTGCCAACTCAAAAACTTACCTCAAAAATTATGTGCTTTCGGAAAATTTGTCGTCCTGGCTCTGTATGTCTTCGTTGCCGACGTTGGCATCGTATCCGTTTATTTCGTGGATTTTTATTTTTCGAAATTTATTGCACGAAAAATTTCACCTGTGCGCCGCGGCGTTACTCTTTTTACGCTTAAATAAACTTTTTTTCGCGGGTATGAATATAAGCAAATTACTACAAAGGACTATACGATATCCCGACACAAAGGATTCATAAATTTCGTAATTTTATAATGTGCATTTTAATGTGAATAAATTAAGTTTGAGGCATTTTCTTTGTATTTCATTTATTTTTTATAATAAATAGTTGAAATTTATTGAAACATTTATTAAATATACTAATATAGACACCAATATATGTTATTACTCAAGATAAATATAACTCAACTACTACAAGTAAAAGAAATAGTAAGACTCCTGTAAGTGCAAAAATAGATAAATAGTAAATAGTAACGAATAAATTCGATATGATTATTATTATATTGGGAGAATTTACAACAGCGATCCAGAGCTCTAATATACCCACTTCATGTAATTACAATTTTTTTTAAGCCCAATTTCCTCCATAAATTGTATTATGAACCTACATTACAGTCTTATTTCTTCATGTAGCATGATTTGCCCACCAAGGTATTGCTTTCGTTTATGCATCAGTTCCGGACAAACTTTCAAACGCGTTTTGAGGCCTCATTCTCTTTCCTTATTCCTTATTGTTACAAGTCTTATTAGAATATGTTCCCAGTTTTGTTAGGTGATAGTTCAATCAATAGTGCCCTGTTGGAACTTTTTTTACAATTTTCAAATTAGTTTTACTTAGTTATATCCTTAAACCCCACTGTGGAATTGGGTTTATTATTCCTGCGGTTAGGCATGCCTGTCATAAGAGGTAACTGAAATGCAACCAGACGTCGGAGGGTATGCCTTAAAAGGTCACAAAAATCCTGAAAAGCTTTTGAGCTGAGCTGAGTAGACGCCGGCTCTAAATAACCATACACCATTCCGAGGTGACAACGAAGGACATTCAAGTTAACACCCTTAATATTTTACAATCCCTAAATCGTTTTGGATTGATAGTCCGTATAAGCGATTTCAATTGCATTAATCCTGGTAAATAATCCCAGTAAAGATTTCTTTGTTCTTCCTCTTCTTTCCGAATGTGTGAGAAGAAATTACCTCCTAACAAGCCTAAGAATGGTTCCGGGCTTACAAACAGCAAAGCTCTTCCTTTCCTGGTAAGTTTATCTGCAACTTAGTTACCGAAAATTCGACCGAGACAAGAATCCTATGATTACAGTCGGGACCCAGAAACCATAAATTTATTTCAGGAAGTTATAAAATTTCAGGAAGTTGCTTTGCAGAAGTATTATATATTATTATATATATTACCAGCCGTCATAACATTGGTGACTGAATGAGTGAAAATATTTATTCGTAATTATAAAAAAAACTAATTTATAAAAAAGTTTGTGCATAATTAGAATATATAAATAAATTAAGTATAAAAATTTATTCAATATATAAATAATTACTGTATAATTTGAGAAATAAAATTATACTGCAATGTATAAATAATATTTAATATTTAAAAAATGTTGAATATTAATATTATATTACAAACATTATATTAATATTATATATACTATATTATCATTATGTGTTATATTATTATTATATATTATGTTATTATTATATATTATATTTATACTGCATATAAATAAATTTGTAATATTCTTACAAATTTAACATATTTATTTTAAAAATATAATGGAAAACACCAAAATTTTACAAAATTAAATGACTAATATTACCTCAACTAAGCGTTTTACCTTATTTTAAATTTAATTTAGAAGTACATATTATAAATATACGTTATTTTACTTTTACCTAATTGATATAAGTTAAATTTTGATTGCTGATAAACGAACCATTTAGCTACCTTACTACTCGTATTGCCCGTTCAAGAGCACAGATAGAACCAAACGTAATCTCACCGTGCGTTCAATTCAAACAAAATAATTTCTACTCATGTTCAGCAAAAGCCAGAACAATCTTTAGCTAAACTGATTATGAGGTAAAACTATAACTCGAAGTTGACTTGATGACTATATTTCGACTGTTGCGCTTCGAGCATTTGATGAAGCACTCGAAAATTTCACAGTTACAACAAAAGTCAGCCAAGTGTATGATGCGTTTATGCCTTTGTCAGTTACACTCTGCGGCATTGGATTCCTGCTCTTTAGCCACTGAATCAACAGTGATGCAGTGAAGGCTAAGTCTGTTAACATATTTTCAGTTGGTCGGTTGTACGGTAGTCTCAAAGCCTTCAGCCAACCTTGCGTGCTATGTAAAGTCCATTCACTTCTCCCATTTTCATAATAATTTAAATTACATTTTAAAAGTTAATTGAAATGGAAATTAGTTGAAATTGTAAAACGAATTGAATTGTATATGATTAGCTCAAATTTGGAATTGGTTTAGCCAAACCTGAATACAATTTCTAATGATTTTTGCACATTTTTTTTTATTTTTGTTCGGATAAATTTCTATAACAAAATTTCATTATAATTTATACACTTGACTGATTATAGTTATTAAAGTTAAATTAAAACTATAGTAAATTAAGAGAAGTAATTGAAATTGTTTTCATTTTCTTTCTCTTAATTATAGATTATGTTAAAGCTATAAGGTTTTCTTGTGAATATAAGTTGTAATTTAACGTAAAATTTTCCAGACGAAAGTGGCTTTTATATTTTAATAGAAACTTATTATATGTCAATGAAGAAGTTTTTTCGAACAGCAGTGAACTACAACAACAAAAAATTTATTTATTTATTTTTTTTTAAATATATATTAATGGAATTTTTGACTGACGATTGAAATTTAGCAATTAAAAATAAATATATAATTAATTAATTAATTCAATTATTCTACAGCTGGTTTATGATTTCGTTCTAATATAAATAGAGCAAGTAAAATTGTAAAAACTTTCATAGCAAAAGTAGCAAAACTCCAGAAATATATGCGAACATAAAAAAGTCAAGCTTTGGATCAGTTGGTTAAGGTGCGCTAATTCTGAGCTTCACATGTGGCAGGACCCTAGTTCGATTCCTGGTACTTGCAGTCTGAAAAATAATTATTTACGAATAATTAATTACAAGAATTATTTCCAAGACCACTGATGATGGGTATTTGGCAATACTCGAAACAGCTGTATGGTCAGCCAAAATTTCAATTAATTAAAATAATATAAAAAAATAAATTTTTGTAGTTGTAGTTCACTACTGTTCGAAAAAACCTCTTTATAAGGTTTTCATTTAAAAAATTGAAAAATATCTATTATACTTTATTTTTACACAAATATATTTAATTAAAAAAAGTCTTAATGTACTAACAACTATAAAATATATATAAAATGGTTTTTTTATATATTTGTATTTAGGCTATAGCTCCCTTCTTGTTAAATAATAAAACTTTAATATTCTTTATTAAACTCTGGAGTTTACCTTAAGAGTCATCATCAGGATTACGATTATAAGTTACTATTATTAAAAATGCATAAACGTCCTCCTCTTTGTTCTATTATTTAATAAGAAGGGACCTTTTGCCAGAATAAAAGTATATAAAAAAAGAACATTTTAATAAACAGGTTGAAAAATAAATTTAAATAAAAAAATTTTATATATAAAATATATTTCTTAACTTTACATATCTAAATTAAAATTAAAAATTGCTACTTTAATAATTTATATTATGTGTTTTTCTTATTATATCAAAAACCTCTTGTAAATTTGGCGGCACTTTGAAGAATCTTAAACGTTCCTCCATACTGCTAAAATCAACTTTCTCCAACTAAAAAATTAAAACAATAATTAATTTCAATGATTTAAGTAATATCATATATAAATCTAAACATACTTCATCACATGAATCCGTACCCGTTGGATCATCCAATGCCAAACGCTCAGCAAATGAAACTATACCACACCAAGTACGAAAATCTATATCACGTAATTTTATATCTTCGTTCTCATAATCCAATAATCGCAACATATTTTTTATATTTATTTCTGTGCCATGAAACTCTAAAACATCTTCCAAAGCCTGTGGCAACACTGACATTGACATTGTACGTTCCACATACTCAGGACGTGGTAATTGTATAATCTCTTCTTCTTCCTTTGTTGAAGTGGTACTCTGCTCATCGATCTTAGAACCCGTTTCACTATCTTCTGGTGCATTGTAATATTTAAGAAAGACTCTCTTATAAAGTCTTTTACGCTGTTGTGAGACCCAAACAAATTTACTTAAATAATCAAGCACTGTCATTTCTAAAAATAGTTTTAATAACATTAAAACCTTATTCTTACTATAAACTATTTATTTACTTTCTAAAGATCTCAGATTAAATGGTACTTCGAACCGTGTTGCTGATTTTGAAAATTTACGTGGCATTTTTTTCTCAGCAAAAGTTAATTTTTCAACTTCCTCCTCAATTGTGTTAGCTGGCTTCGGTTTAGGTGGTATGTACTTGATAGCTTCTCTTAAAGCACGATTAAGCTAAGATTAAGTTTTAATTTCCATTAGTTAATAGAATAGTCACAATAAATGATATACAGTTAGGAGCAAAACTTACATATCTTCCAAAAGTATTTTCAATCACATCTATATCCAAGTCAATTTTAATAGCCTGAAAAGCATCATCAGTAAGAAAACTTCCTTTTAATAGAAGCGGATCACTTTCTCGTTTTTCCTTGTCTGGCATAAGACTAACTGAATTTGGTATAAGACTTGGTCTTGTACTAGGATTTAAGGAATCTGGCCCTAAAGTAGCTATTTGTGTTTCTGGATCTTCACTCAAGTGAAACGTCGTTGTCGCTTATGAAAGTATTTACATGAAATATATAAATACCTTATTCATACGTTTATAATATACCTGTTGTTGGTTTAAGTTTCTTGCGCTTCTTGCCACGTCTTACGTCTTCCTCAATATCAGTAAAATCTCGATCATTAATACATGTCTTTGGTATTTTCTTATCCTCATCTTTCTCTCCTTCTTGCTTACCTACCACATCTAATGAGGATTTAGGCCTATGCTCTTCAGATTTTTGTCGTTTTGGTTTTTTTCCTTCCAAAGCGTCAGCGCTTTTGGGTTTCTTATCTTTCTGTTCAACATCTAGCGCACTTTGTGACATATCTGAAGAGGGTTTCCAATAAAGTGTTTCTTGTGAGTGCGATCTTCGTAAATCCAAAATAATTTTTTTTCTCTTAATAATTTCATTTTTTCCCAACTCAGGTGTGATACAGCGACGATTATTTAGGAAAGAACCGCCACTATTACGTGTATGTATGCTAGTCACGGTTGGTGTAGGTGTCAGTGGGCGTGAATCGGTGTCCGTGTAGCGTCGAAATAAATCTTCTGGAATATTATCTGTTTCATGCAGCTGCACATTATCGCGTTTATCTTTAGCACTTTTGCCATCTGTTCCCTAAAGTATAGTATAGTATGTCGGTGTCACACTTGCGTTTTGATAAATTAATTTTTAACGTTGCTTTACTTACAATTGAGGTTTTTAATTGACTTATAATGTGTTTTACTTCCGTGGGTGCGGGATGATTGCATAGAACTGAACAACCTTTCGCAAATGGATTGAAAAGACCACCGAAAGGCCGCAATGACAGTGGCATTGGCTGTGCCTCAAATTGCTTTGGTAAACGTTCCGATGAAATGTGTTTTTGCTGTACATGTCATATTTGAGATAATTTTAATTTCATTTAATAAAAGAATTAATTAACATATTTGAATATACATAAATTAATAATTTTGTATAAATAAAATAAAAAATTAATTATTAGTTTGCATATAATTTCAAATATTATTTTTATTACCTTTGTGGCAGTAGTATGAGACTTCTGTGGTGTTGGAACTAACCCCGTTCTACTTCTGGTATTCATATTAAAAATATATTATATTTTATAAAAAAAATATATCAATTATTTTTAATAATTTAATTATGTTTTTGTTGTTTATATGGAAAAAGTTTACTTTTTACTATTTTTTTCCATTTCTGGTTATATCTAAACAAAAATGATTGTTTATTTTTATAAACAAACAGGGTTACCATAGTATTACTTTTCGTGTGTTTTAAGCTTATAAATTAGTACAAAATCGTAACAACAAAAAATAGACTGTTATTTGATAATATGTTGCTCCGAAAAATCATAGAATATTGAATTTAAAAAATAAAGATCCGAATATATTTTCTTGAGATTTTCATAAGATCAGGCTAACTAAACAATGTGAAGCATTATTGATTTGATTGATAATATAAAAATTAATATAGAGCATTTTTAAGTAAGGTATGAAATTTTAACGAGAAAGAAAGCGAAATTAATTTGAGTAAATGGGTCAAATATTTGTAATTCTGAAAACTTGTTAGAAATATTTTTTTACAGTTCCAATTTTCCATAACATTCAAATATTTGAGACTGTAACTTTTGAATGGCGCACAGACGGTTTACTTCTAGAGCTGAAATGGTCAATGGCTTGTCCACCATCAGGTATCGATCGAATTAAACTTTTTTGCAGGCAAAGCATTACCATTCATTCAAAACAAATTACCAAACCAACGAAGTCATCACGAAGTTTTTATACCTTTAACTGTGTCAATATCGTGGTGCTGGTCATACAGCTCATCGTTCCATGTAATTCAATTTTTCTTTCGTCTTAGCTTCTCTGCTGCTAATTCTTTCTGTTTATTTTGGAATATTCTCCTAGCCTTTGCTCCGTACAGCTGGACAAGCATGATAAGAAACTTGCAGAGTGTTTTTCGAGAAAAGATTCTTATTCTTTGTACCTACCTAGTCCAAAGTGACTCTATTAGTAAAAGTAATACTTTATTGAATCTCTATGATGACGTCATTTATAGAGTTTGCGTTGTTTCCCAGATAAACAAAGTCTTTGACCACTGCGTACTTATATTTGTCAGAAATGACATGAGATAGCTGTACTGATGGCTTGTGGTGTTGTTCCCTACATGATCATCTACAAATGTAAAAGTAAACTATTATCTATACATTTAGACCAGTAATTCTCAACCTTTTTATGACCTAGGACCACTATGTTAATTTTGGTTTTAATAAGGACCACAAAGTTCAAGAATAATGAACTGTATGATTATTATATATTTTATGTATCTCTGGTTTAATGTATAATGAATTGTGGAAGTACATAGGTACATTATACATATAGGCTATAAAATAGATATATAATTACTTGCAAATTTCTTGTGCTTATTCATAATAAGTAATTGAGGTGGACAAACTACAAACTATGTATCCGTTAAAACACAATTTTTACCCATCTCGCGGACCACCGGTTGGAAACCATTGATTTAGACAAATACGGTCTAATCATACCACCAGTCTTAAATAGCACCAATCGTTTTCAAAAATGCACTGGTGTGTATATTTATATGTTTTATCTTCCTTTGTTCTTATTTTCTCAAATAACTTGCGTCTCCATCATTAGTAAGAATGTGTTTTTTGTTAAAACGTGTAATTGAGAATTCTTTGTTCCCCAACACCACTCAAGCTATTGGCTTATGAAAAAGTTATAATTAAAATCTCACTGTTAAATGAATTAATTTTATGTTCTGAACTTTTAAAATACTTCATTTCATGTCACATAAAATTCTCACCAAAAAAAAAAAATTATTATTCGTTGCACATTTCCACAAAGTGCTCATAAATTAAAAAAATTCATAAAAGCAACTTGAGAGAAATTATATTTCAAAAAAAAAAACAAAATATTAAAAATCCACTCCATATCTAAAAAAGCGACACTAGGCGCGTAAAAAAATTCGGAATATGCATTAAAAAAATTGTAATAATCAAGCTTAAATAATATTCATTATATGTGTTTCACTAGAGAGCTTACAAGTACAAATTTGGTCCAGAATTACACATATGCATCATAAGATGTATATCGTGCACCCTTAAGTGCATATATACGCCTTTGCATATTTATAAACGCGTACGTAAATGACCAACCACATGCACACTTTTAGCAAATTATAAAAATTTATTACCAAAAAGAAAGTAAAATAGCATAAAATAAATTATTTAAAAAAGGCAAATCAAAAACGGAAAAAATGGGTAAAAAGGGAAAACGCATGTAAATACATTTTTTTCCATCTTACCACTGGAAAATTATAGAAATGGACACCAATGTCCATCCGCCGGATATAAAATGTAACTAAATCGCTGAGCATTGGGATAATAAATACAGAAGTACCATGTATATATGTTTGTATGTAATACGTATATTTAAGTTTGGGTTCCGTTTAAAAAAAGTTTAAAAATTATGTGAATATTAGTTATTTTTCTCTTCTTTTTTGCAGTTCTCCTAAAATTAGTTAAAAGGAAATAAATGGAACATAATATTTTTTGTGCTGTCACAAATTATCAGGGAATGTAATATAATGTATATTTTTTTTAGTTGTAAAACTACTCAAGTAACTGCATTAGTTGCTTCTTAGTACATATTCATAAATTTTTTATATAGTAAATGATTTTTAAAAATTTTTGCAAAAAATACGCCCGCCTACGTATTTTATTTTCATCATATATTCTTTCTTACCCTGTGATTCTATTTTCATATATATATTATTATAAATTGATTATTGTACTACAATTAAATATATATATAATGATTCGTTTTACTACATAAAAATCTTTAAAAACATCACTAGTGAAATAAAAACACGTTCACATTGCCTTCATTAAGACCGCTAAATTTTATTCATCATACAAGAAGTTTTCGTGTAAATTACTTCATTATAAATAAATTAACTAAATTAAGACGAAAAATGTGAAATGCAACCATAAAAAATATGTATATTTTCTAAAAAGGAAATGATCCAAATTTGATCAGATGGTTTAAGGTGCGCTGACTCTGAGCTTCAAATTTGAAAGGGCACGAGTTCGGTTTCTAGTACTTACAGTCTCAAAAAAAATTATTTACGAATAATTAAATCCAAAAATTATTTCCAAGACCACTGATGATGGGTATTTGGCAATACTCGAAACATCTGTATGGTCAGCCAAAAATTCAATTAATTAATATAGAATTAAAATGAATTTTTGTTGTTGTAGTTCACTACTTTTTAAAAAAACCTGTTTATGAAATTTAATATATAAAACTAAAAGTAAGCGAGTAATAATGGCATACTAAAGAAAAACTAACTATTTAGTAAAATTTTTTGTTATTAACGAAATATGTATAATTGATCAATTAAAAAAATGAAAATAAATAATTTCCAAAGAAATTTGGAAATATAACCACTTTTCCACTTTAATATAATCACTTTTCTTTCTATCAATATTTTTTTATTTTCTGATATAACAACATTTTGCAATGGATGCATAAACAAAAGAAAGCTCTTCAATAGCTTTTTTGACATATAAAAGATTTTTTAAATGCATAAATTCATTTATAATAATGTGAACGCTCTTCTTTAAACTCATTAAAATAAACTAAGCAGCAATATGAACACTTTGCTTTTCCTTTTAATTATAAAGTAAAAGTATTTATTTCAGTCACTCATAAAATCAGTACTCAATTTGAGTTAATAACAATATTAACTTGAAGCATTTTTTAAATGTGTTTTTCAATAATTTTCAGTAATCGCCATTAGGGAATCTATAGTTTGTTTGAAAGTGGATAATATGTTTGACAGAAATATACACATACTATCAAACAGTCAAGCTGTTTTAAAGTTCTTGACTTCTGTCGAATTTACATATAGGGCGGTTATTGACTGCTACACATCTCTAAACTAAATGTGGACGCAGCTCAATATTTCTCTTGTCTAGATCCCCGGTCAGAGGGATATTTCCGGGAATTATAAAGCAAACAAGCAAACCAGAAGGGGTAGCCATCTGTATGCAATTGGCCACCTCCATCAAAACGAAATTCAACGCTCTCATTGAGAGGCCCCGTAATGTTATCACTCTTGTGACGGATTTACTTACAGGTCATTGTAGATTAAGTAACCATTCTAGAAGATTAAATATCTTCTTCAATTATACCGCACGCAACAAGAAGAATAAGAAGGGAGCAATAAGAAGGGCCAAGAGCTCCAGATGGTTTTTAGTCCCGAGTTTTTCCGTTATACGGTAGCAAAATGGGCCAATAGGCTTAAGTGAATGCCCTTTAGATCGCCGGTATAACTTAACCTAACTTAGAGCACCAAAAAATGAAAAGTAAGTAATAAAAAGTGCTAACTAACTGCACGAAAAAGTTTTTTTATTAATATCACTGTTCGTTAACAAAATTTACTTCTGAATAAATTAGCCTTCGACTGAGCAACATCAATATTTAATATATATTATGATTTAATAAAATATTAGTGAAGCTTTCTAGTTCTGAAAACATTAATTACTTGTTCTTTATCGCGAATTTATTCTTTCTATCAAATTCAATGTTCTTTCAGTTCATAATTATAATAAATATTGTAAAACAGCGCACTAAATTATATCCCTTTTATCTTGCATGTAATTTATATTATTTTTATTTCCAAGTATTTAACATAAGTAATAATAATACTTCTCGTATTGTGCATTTGCATATAATTTTTTTTTAATTTGTTCCTAACTGGAAAAAATTATTATCCTTCACGCTTAATATGCTCAAAAACGGAAACCGTCATTTGTAGACGACGACCGCCACCCACAAGAGCAGAGAAAGATTATTTTTTTTACCGCACATACAATGTACATTCAAACTGCATATTTGCCTCATTCAACTTACATATGTGCAAGTATTTATTTTGTTTTTACATTTTTTATGAAATTAGTGTTTTTTATATATTCACCAATTTTTATTAAAATAATAAAAAGAACTTTTTTTTTAATGAAAGCACATACTTACATCGCAATAGCGATGAAAAACG